ACAGTTATTGACCAAGTTGTACCTCTGTCCCCTTTCCATGTGTCTTGTACTGCCCTCATCCCCACCTGTTAGGCCTTGTGCCTCTCCTGGTGTGGAATCATGCATTTCTCCTACTCTTAGACCAGGCTCTGGACATGGACCACGCTTACCCAACAGGCCCGACTGGGGTTGGTACCTGCGGTTCTTTCATTCAGGGGTCTGTGACTAGTGAATAGAATGATCATGCAGCCTTCTTAGCCCAAAGTATTGTGTAACAGGAACAAAGCACTTAGAGAAAAATGATTCGAAGACATTGGTCTCTCTTACCAACACTGCATTCCCTGACAGTAACCTAAGGCCTAGCTACTCTAACTTCCCCAAACAGCTTCCAAACAAGAGAGAGAGAGAAACCCCCCCCCCCTCCCCACACACACACACACCTTTTTTAAATGCTATAATGCTTTTAATCTCTAATTCCCAGGCCTTTCCCCATCCTGGCACTGTCTCTTAAACTTCAGGGGACTTATTAAGGGGAAGCCTTATCCTGATCCATTGTTTCTCCTTCCTGCTTGTTTTCCTTGCAGCTCCCTATTAAACTAAACCAATATAGGAATGTAATATACAATAAAAGAACCAGGTCAACATTAAGGATTCTTAAGATACCGCAGAGCAGCTCCACATCCATCTCAGTTCCTTCCTTGGGTTACTGCTAGGTGTTCAGACACATACTTGCTTTTCACCTTTCATGCTCTATAATTATTGCACCAACAAATACAATGGGATGCAAGTCAAGGCAACTCCAGAGTTCAGTATTTCAGCTTCAGGTCTACAAGTCTCCACCCTGGTGTATTTGTTGAGGAGAGGAAGGAATGGAATTACAACAGCAGTCAGGAGACACACTAGGGACTGTTCCCCTTTAGCACCTTGGAGTTGCTTTGATGCTAAGGGAGCTGTCAGTCTAAGGCCACTAATGCCTAAACATCCAGAATGATGATTTTTACCTTGGTCAGGCCAGTGTTGCACGTTCCTGCTATTTTTCCTGTTTTGCCCTGCACGGACAGGCTTAGCATGGAAAACAGACGACTCTTTGCATGGATATTTCCTGGCTTGTCTGTGCGCTGCTGGAGATGGAACAGGGGTCTTGTCTTTCTCTGCAGTTCCTGTGGACTGTACCCTGCGATAGTCCAGCTGAAATTAACATTCACAATAAACTTCCTTAGTTTGTTTCTTCATCTAGAGCTTTGTGAGAACGAGAGACTGATTCTACAGCACTAGCTACAGAGACATTGCACAATAAACTTCCTTAGTTTGTTTCTTAATCTAGAGCTTTGTGAGAACAAGAGACTGATTCTACAGAGACATTAGCCCTGCCAGCACACATCCAAATTGACTGGCAGGATCCCACATGTTACCAGTCATGAAAACAGGACTGCTATGCATCGCATTTATGGACTGCACCTAGTGCTTGCCGTATTCATTACCTGCTGAGGTGGCTCGACGAGGGCAGAGTCGCTAGCTGCAGCCTGGGAGTTGGCATAGTGTTTACCAAACTAAGGACAAGAACAGGAAACGTTACATTTACTGAAACAAGACAGACAGCCCTTGAAAAGCACTTGGCAGCCTGGACTTGTTGGGACAGCTCATTTACAGTGGAGTGCCCAATGGACCCCAGATCCTGCAGCTACGATCCCTGCAAGATCGACTCCCTACTCAAACAAGAACGTGTTCCCGTCCATTCCAGGACGGGTGCTCGGAACAGCTGGCTTTATTGATCGTGAAGTGGTAAAAAGCTCAGATCTGCAAGCCAGCTCTATGGGGCACCAGGTAGCAAAAGGGAGACCCCCAACTGTCACTGGCTACACAAATGTCTCCTGCTGTCACTCCTGGGCCCTGGCGCACCAGACGAAAGGGTGCCACATCCAGGGCCCTCAGAAAATGAGATCTGAGAAAGTCAAGGTCCCAAAATTAAACAAGAAGGGGGTGTTTCTGGCCTGCTGTGCAGCAGCTTCTATTGGATGGAGATAATACACCTTGGCAAAGCACTTTAAGATCTACTAATGAGACGTGCTCCCTATAAGCCACCTACTATAGGGCTGCATACTTCATTGCTTCTGTAGGTTGAGTTGCATCCTCCATTTTCCCCACGTGCCACCCTCCTCTATTTCAGGGACTCCATGTAGCTCTCTCCACTTCTCCCCCACATCCAACCCTTCCATTCTTCTCCCCACACACACACACCCTGGCAGAGTTTCTGTGTGCAACCTGTTCTTCATGCCAGGGCTTCCCCTTCTTGTTCTCTCATTTCATCTTCTCTGCCCTGTGCAGGTTTGCCAACATTTTAAATTCAGTGGGGACTGAGGCAGAGCTAAACTGAGAGGTGTTATTAAGCTGGAGTGTCCAAACAGAAAAATGCCACCGAGTTGAATGTAAAAGCCTCACAAAGCCCACCCAGTTTAGGGTATAAAGAGCAGGCAAGTGAGATGCCTTCACCGGGCAGCTGAGGAGAACACCAGTGCTTAAAACGGAGAGAAACGAAATGAAGATGGCTGTTTTCAATCCAGTCCTATTGCTCGTATCCGGGGCTATTGCATGAGATTTGGTGTCAGAGGCAGCTTTTCTGCTGCATCTACTTTCTGTCCGTAAATGACACACATTGTCTAATCCAGTTTGAGGGCTGGTCCGTAGTGTAAATGGCGTTGCCCACACAGGTTAAACTACCTACCCCCTGATTGTGGATCCTGCGTCTGTTATTCGGATGGTTCCTGAAACACAGAAAATGGAATCTGAGCAGGTTGAGACCCCGTACGTTCAAACAACGGGGTATGTCCATGCGATGCACATGCCCAGATATTGACCCTGGCTATTTTTTTTGTACATTCATAAGCAGGTGCAGTGCAGGTGAAAGGTGCTGGATTGACAGTCCTGGAGATCTCTATTGTCAGCCCAGGCAGAGCACAGGTAGTATCCATGCGGGTTCCCCCTGCAGCGTGCTCCATGCTAACCTGAGCAGGGAGCAGTCTCCATGACCTAGTCCATCCTGGACTGCCTTGCTGAGACCACCCACAGGAATGACAACTGGTGACACTTGTGAAGAACTGTTTGATGCTCAGCTAATCAAGACCCTGTACTCATTTCTCACAGGGCACTAAACAGCCAGCAGACGGTTTATATATTTAAAAAGCTCTTAGTCACTGCTGACCCAGGCTGGATTGAAAGCACCTCCTAGAGGTGGGAAGGTTCTATATCCCATTGCCAAACCCAAACCAGCAAAATCTGTTGCTATTCTCAATTGGCCCTTGCTACGTGATAACAGGAAACTCAGCCAATCTACTTGCTTTTTCTGGTGCTGGACATGGGGATTTCATAGAGTGGTTTATATACGTTAAGAACAGCCCATGACACTGAAATGCTTAATTAAAAAAATGTGTATCCCTTTGCCGGAGGGCCTGGGGGAAGGGCATGCATTTTTTTGGCTCCCCATCTTTCTAAGTGGACACCTCAGAGTGCTCTTTGCCAGATTCCAGTCACACCCGGAGAGCATCACGGAAAGTCGGCTCCTTGTTGAAGTGATTTTGCGTAAATATAAAGATTATTTTTAAGCTTTGGGCAGTATGCTGGTCCTCTCTCTAAACTACAAATACCTGCCTGCCTGCCTACCGTAATGCCCGATGTAGAGAATTCTTCGGCACCAGCAGTTCAAAGTAGGGCAGATTTTTGTACTTCTCCAGCCCTACCGCCACATAGTATTCACCGTTCACCAGCTCCTCACCACTGGAGACTGGGATTCCATCCAGCCGGCAGAGTCTATGGGAGAAGATAGCAAGGGAGTTAGAAAAAGCCTGGGAGTGGGGCGGGTGAGGGTGGCAGCAAATGATCCCCCCTGTGAACTGTGATCAAGAAAGTGGGAGACGAACACAGGCCAAAGAAGGGCTCTGCTGAAGTCAGTGGAGTTATTACACCATGGTGAATGTGACCTAGGGTGTTTCAATATAAGCTGTTTAATGCGCAAGCTACATTTGTTCGGTAGTAGTCCCTTCCCCGCATAGACATAATATAAGGAGGAGGAAGATTTGCTTATAGCCCGTCTCACCTGAGCATCATGAACATTAACTCTCCCCAAGCCTCCAAGAGGTAAATATAATCCCCGTTTTACAGCATGTCTGTGGCAGAAACAGAGTGAGAACCCAGGTGTGCTGACTCCTGGTCCTCTTGCACTAACCACTAAAGAGTACAAGGGGACACAACGTAGACCAGATGGACAGAAGATAAGGAAAAGCCAGTAGTGCCTCTTATGGGTACCCACTTTCGGACAGCTCCGCCGCGCAGGTTGGCTTTCTCCGTCAGCAGGCCCAGGATGGTGTCCCATTCCAGCAGGGTGCTCCTGGAGAGCAGCAGTCGAAAAGGGGGGCTCAGCAAATCCCCATTCCGGAAAACACTTTAAGAGAAGGGCAAAAAACATGTGTGATGAGCCGCTGTTCCCAATCCCCGTATTGTACACAGCCCCCAGGAAGAAAGAGCCAATGCCTCTAGAACGTTCCACGCATCTCAGCCTGTGGCTCTCCAGCCGCCACACGATTAAACAGCTCAGAATTCTTGGGTGGGGAGTGGTAAAACTGATGGGTCCCAACCAGGATTGGGTCGAGGGGCTGTAAAGACGTACAAGGTAGTTCCTTCACCGAAGAGCTTGTAGCCTGAGACGACAACAAGAAGAAGAGGGAAGACAGGCTACAACGTAGGAGCAGAGCGAACAAGGCAATGCGAGAGGAAAGCGCAGCATGGACTTACCTCACCTTGACCCCTAGGAACAGGCAATTTAAGAAGGGTGGGGGAAAGGCAGGACATCAAAATGTGGACAATGTTTACACATGCACATGTTGACATTTAAAAAAAAAATGCATAACCACTGCCAACAGCCTCCCCTCCTGTCCATCATCAGCTGGGCATTTAATTTAATTGGAGACACCATGGAGGAAGTGGGCCTGGAGGAGGGTTTGGAAGTCTAGAGAGATCGTTAGATCAGCGTGGGGATAAGCAATAAAAAAAGGCAGGTGCCGTAGGCAGAGGAAGCAGAAGAGACACAAGAGCAGGTAAGTAGAGTGGCAGGGTTGCGAAGAGCCACAAATACGAGAAGAGGCTTCAACTTTAGTGACGTCCGTGGAGAGATCGAGAACAGCGGAGTGACGGGGTTGGAGCTACAGACTGATCTGAGCAGGA